CCTCAGCCAAAACCTGCATCCCTGCAGATTTCTCCTCCCGTCCGTTTGGTCCGGCTACGTTTCCCCTCCCTTTCTTGGCCATTAATAAACCATACCTCACCCTGACCTGGATCCATTCGCACCCACAAATTTCCCTCTCCCCCCCGGCTGCCCACCGCCACTTCCCCGCGGCAGCCCCCCACGGCCCCGGGGACCCCCCTCCCGCTCCCGCATCGCCCCGGCCGCTCCCACCCCAGCCCTGCCCGCCACCGCCGGTGTCTCCCGCGGGAGACGAACTCATATTGATTGTGCTGTTGATTAAAAATCACGAAATAATCCTGCCAGCTTTGACACTCCGTGCCAGACCTGCAGCCACAAAAAGACGGGTCCGGTTATGTGGGACACACGTGTTCCCCCGTGGGGGGCACAGCCCGGCCGTCACACCGGCGTGGCGAGCACGACCGCATCAAAGGGCGAGCGATTTGCCCGATTTTTCATATTAGTCCCTTTTCTCTCCGAGGCAGGTATTTCTTAAAAGTTGTGGTCTGCATCCAAACTCTCCGTCGACCCCCTCAATATCGCATCGCCCCAGCCGAGCGCTTCCTCCAGAAAAGTTTAAAGCAAATCAGGACGTGGGGTTTGCTGCCTGTTTTCCTTTTGAATTAAAAAGAAATAAACTTATAACTGAATTTCGTGTTATCTCCCTTGAATTATACTATCAAAAGCAGCAACGTTGAACAGAAGAAAATAAGGTCCTCCAACCCAGAGTTGTTTTTGCACTAGATTAGCAGATAGGAAATGCTATAAAGATGAACTTAATACGATTAGAGATGTTTCCTACAGATTTTCATATATTGATTCAGGGAATTTTAATTCTGGAGCTTGCTTTGCTATAATCCGCATTTATTACAAGCTGATATAGTTTTATTATAGCAAGCTATCAAGGTCGATTCCTTTAACTGCATAATCTGACATGAATTTCATTTTTAAAGAAATGTAGTTATAAAAATCCATACTGTGGGCACAGTGGTTATATTGTACCTAAATCATATTTTAAGGGCAATAAATCCAGAGAGTATTTAGGAAGAGAGGGGAATACGGTTAAACGGCTCTCCTCCAGTCTCAACTCCTTAAAAGACTCTTCAAACTTTTTTTTTTTTTAAGTTAAACACCGAGTATTTAAAAAGGCAGATAACGGTGGCAGGTTGAGGTCCCCTCTCCCCTGCCCGCAATCACAGCCCCACAGGTTGTAGGAACTTTTTGTGTTCCCCTCCAGGCGCTCCCTCCACACGGCAGTAGCGGAGCAGGGCACACTGGCGCTTGCCAAAGACGCGCTGTGATTGAACTGTATTTTAACTACTCTTAAAAGGCTAAATTGCAACTCACACGCTGGTTTCAGAGAAAGAAGGGGGGGCGGCAAAAAAAAAAAAAAAAAAAGGCAAACCGTAATTTCAAATGTGTTGATCATAAAAAAAAATCTTATTCGGTAATTAAACCGTATCTTGACTCCCTCCCAATAGCTCCTTACAAGCCCGTGCCACTGCTCCCTTTGCAAATGTTGCACGTACCAGGTACTTCCTTCTAAGCCTTGTAGTGATTCAGAACAGAGGGAATAAGCAAAATGATCATAAATTTCCTAATTAGAGATTTCGCACCAAGACAAAAAGGTGTTAATGAGTTTAATTCCAGTGCCTGTCATTGTCCCTTTTTTCACACCACTTATTTACTAATGGCCCAGAGGGCTGCTCCCGTCTCTCCTTTGTTAAGATTTTAATTTGCCTTCTTTTCTGCCTTTGATGTAAAATTGTGACCTACAACTCTTTGAAGTCCCTTATTAGGAGGAAAATTAACTTAGCTTTTCCACTGTATCTGCCCACTGTTAGCCCAGACAAAATGTAGAGAACTCCTTAAAGATTCAGTACATTAGGAAAATTTTCAAGGTAGCTCTGGAAATGCAGATTTAAAAAAAAATCTAATAGACTTTTAAATCTATATTAGGAGAGGTAACCCTCGCCAGGGCCGGAGAGGGGGAAGGGAAGGAGGGAATATCTTAATAAAGAAAACAAAATGAACCCAGGCAAGGCAAGGCTGTAAATTTGAAAACCTGAAAAGGGGGACTGGGGGGAGGGGGGGGAGCCTTTATTTTTAAATGTCACAACTTTTTCCTGTCCCTCTCGTGTGCCGCTCACAGCTGACACCCTGGCTTCCTATGCTCCGGGGGAGGGGGGGGGGGCTACGAAAGAAATTATATCTAAATCTATCTCTATATAATTAGAATACCATGAGGCAGGGTTAAACCTTTGTAAAACACACAACTGATTGGCGATCGCTAAAACGAGATTTGAAAGCAACTCAAATAAAAGATCGCGACGTCAGTAAACAGATTTAGAAAAAAAAAAAAGAAGGGGAAAAAAAAAAGCAGCTAGTGACAAACCCGGCGAGAGCGAGCTCTGGGCATGAGAGAGAGAGGGAGGCAGAGAGGGAGAGAGAGACTTAAAAGAAATAGGAGGGGCTTGCGAGAGACTAGAAATGTCAATCAGAGCCCAGAGTCCCAATAATCTCAGGCAATCTGTTAGGACCTGACCTGGGTCCACTCAGATCAATAGGAAAAGTGAGAGAAGAAAGAAGCGATCGGATCGTTTACCGCGGCGGCCGAGGACAGGAGGGAGCCCGCGGCCTCCGCGCACCCCCGGCTCCCCCCCCCGATGTCCGCCGGAGTTTGCGGGAGGCGCTGAAAGTGCGGGCGGCCGGCGAGGGCGAGCGACCCGGCTCCCTCCTCCGCTCCCGGCCCTGCTACTTTCTCCCCTTTCTCTCCCTTCTTCCTCT